ATGGCTGATAGCTTGTTCTGCTGTCACACGATACTTCCTCTCTGTCTCCCTCTCATTTGCTTTTACAAAGATTACTAGAAGAACACACACTGCTGGGATGATGACAGGCAAAAAATGCTAACATGGATCATATACTCTAAAAAGAAGTCTGTTTATATGAAGGATTTTTTTTCATATGCGATTTTTCACAGGTGTTTTCTCATATTTTCAATTATGCATTGTGTTGTGTTTTAGCGTGAAAGGAATAGTTCACCCAAAAATTATTATTGTTTTTTTTTTTTAAATGTATGACCCTCAGGCCATCCAAGATGTAGATGAATTCGTTTTTTCAAAAACAAAGAAAAAAGATAAAATGAAGAAATTGTCTGTATTGATTTTTTACATTTGTTTGACCTGTATTTTGAATTTTGCATTTCATTGCGTTGTGTTATAGGATTAAAGCTACGTTTCCAAATGCCTTTCATACAATGAAAAGTAGCCAAAGCTTGTTTGAAAAGTTATTAAATGTCACTAGATAGAATGTCACCAATAGTCTTTTGGGCAACGTGCCAGCATATAGCACCATTGCTCTTCAGTATCCCAAGTTCGAGTCCCAGCTCATTGATATTTCCTGATTCCACCCCCCTCTCTCTCTCCCACTTTTCTTCCTGTCTAGCTACTGTCCTATCATACTAAAGGCAAAAAAAAAGTGGCTAGATGATGTTGCATACTATTCATGAGTCCACACTTACATATAATCGGATTGAACGAATAGTAAGCATATTTGCCATGCTGTCCTGAGGGAGGGCTCCAAGCTCGGAATATAGCCCGAACCCAGAGAACTCCCTCATCCCAGACTAGGGATGGAGAAGGGATGCTGGTGTTGTGCCCATTTTCGACCCCCTGGCAAATTATTACCTCCCTTGTTGAAATCGCTACCTGATTGCCTAATCCTAACCCCACCACTAATCCTAACCTCTCCCCACACCTAACCGTAAAAGTTAGTTAAAGAGAGAAAAGTTGATTATCTAGACGAGCTCCGCCTGTGTTGAATTGGTTGATTATTTGAACGTGCTCCTCCCAAACCTTGTTAATTACCAAATTTTTATGTTTTTGTTGTCAGACAACACAACCCATTTAAACTATATGCAGTCAATCCCAATCTGCTAGAAACAAAAGAATATCTGCCTTTTGTTTGTTAATTGCAAAAAATCACCAAATATATGTCAATTTTGCCAAAACAGCCCCTTGTTGTAAAACATTAATAAAAGTTGATAAAGTCGCTAAATATGGTGACAAAATCTCTAAACTGGAAACATAATGTAAAATTTATGTCAGAAAATTACCAGTACATTTTCTGTTTTTCAGCAGATTTTTTTATTGCAATGTATAAACTCGGCCTGCCATCAGCCTGCTTAGCAAACTTTGTGACAAAAAGTGTTGTTTGTTGATCAGTTTTTTATTTGTTTGTTTTTTGCCTTTTGAAGCATGTGACAAATTTCCTGCTGTCAAAGAGTGACATGCACAGAAAAAAGTATTATTGTGTGGGATGAACTAAAAGTACTGAACAAATTATGCATCTGATGAGAGACATGTCATCTTTTCAGTTCACATGTGAGTTAGTTTTGTTTACAACAAGGAGAAAGGAGACTGAGAAATTGTGGTTTGCGTAAAATTGTCCATTAAAATTACATGTTATTGGAACTCATTTTTTTTTTTTTATGTGTGATCATGTGTTTTAATGAATAGATTGAGTGAATGAATCAAGGATTCTCTCTCTGAGCAAATAAATGAACAAATCTGAACCAATTTTTGTGCATGGATTCAAAAGATCCAATTCACTGAGGTGAATACCATAACAGTTGGTATTGAGTGGTGATTTAGAACCTATAGCAGGACTATACAATTCCGTTCCTGGAGGGCAATAACCAGTAGAGTTCCAACCCTAATTAAACACAGAACCAGCAAATCAAGGTGATCAAAATTACTTCATTATTACAGCTGGTGTGCTTGATTAGTAGTGGAACTAAAGTCTGTGGGCCAGGCTCTTTTTCCTTAATTTTACATTGTAATTTAAATAATTTTTAGCTTTTCATCAACAAACCCTGATTTGGGAAACCCTGACATAATATGTAAAGTTTAAATGTACTTTATGTTGTTGATAACATAAGACTGAAATATATTTTAGGAATATACTTTTTTCTATGTATATTTGCATTTTTATAACAATATGGTACAAAGGTAATCTAAAAGTATACTTATGTGGCACATAGGAAAGTAGGTCAGGTGGGTGGCGTCAGTAAATAGTTTTAGGAGAGCCGTCTATGGTACCTGGTGACGCAAATTAGAGGGCAATTAGCCATTTGTATGAGCGAACGCCACATGTAAAGGGAGTGCCACTAGCACAGCATTTCAGACACTGCAGGGGAGTGAAAAGGCGAAGCACTATTGTGTGAAGGAGTCCGTATTTAAAGAAGACTCTAATAGTTCTCGAAAAACTGTTTGATGTGACCAGTAGGCAAGGCTGATAGCCGTCGATTGCGGTGTGACTCAATTTGAATTGTTTCAGGTATGGAGTTTTATATGATACGGGATGTATATTTTAAATTTGGAGTTTTGTATTTTGATCTGTTCTTTGTGTAATTGTAAAACGGTGCAAGATCACGTTTTATGAGGATACATTTGGCAAGCTGCATCTATGGTTCAGGTATGGATGTTTTAAAGAGTAATAAGTGTGTGTTAATGACTTGCTTGATCTAATAATGTTTTTATTTGTAGGAGAGTTTGTCAGCCACTGTTTTCTTTACCTCCATATTAAATTAATGATTTAGTGTGTTTTGTGTGTTAATTAGACGCAGCGCTCAGTGAGCGCGTTGAGAAACGTGAAGGGGGAGTGATTTTTCTTGTGTTCCTTTTGTAGTTTTCGTTTGTATTGTATTTCTTTGGGAATTGTATTTTAATTTTATTTGGGTATTGATGGTACAACGGTACAATTCACAGGTAATGGCATTGAGCAATATGCAATAATACCCTTTAAAGTTTATCACAGAAGTGTGCTGATTGCAGTGTATCACATGAAGGTGATTGCTTAATTTGGGTTTTGTATTTAAAGGGTTTATGACCTGCCTTGCCTGTGTACACCACATTATACCCTCTCTTTTTACCTGTCATGCTGTGAAATGTTTTAGCATTATATGTAAATGTAATAAGGAATAAAGAGTTATGTATTTTGTACACCAGCACCTGCCTTTGTCCTTTAATTAGGATATACATGTTATTAATCGTTTAAATACGGCATTTGTCCCTTTCTGAGCACGGTAAGGCACCTGAAGGCCACATTTGGCGTAGTCGGCAGGGTATTAGGTGGTTGCTGGTGTTACTACTACTACTACTACTACTACTACTACTACTACTTTATTTATTTATTTATTTATTTATTTATTTATTTATTTTTTTATTTTGTCTCTTCCCCCTAAGTTCTATTATTATTGCGACTGGTTGATCGCTGTGGAGGCGAAAGTACAAAGAGGAAAACAGTGGTTGGCAAGAGGACGCCGTTGGAGCATCTTCACTTTACTACTGACGTTGGGCTTCGAGGTCAAGATTATTGTATTTCCCATACCTATCCTGCTTTATTTTGTTTATTTGCTCTTTACCTAGAATGTCTGAGAGGGAGGAAGACCAGATTAGAGCTCTGACAGAACAGCTTCAGCAGTTACAAGCTGATAATGTCAAGCTTCGGCAGGAAGCGGCAGCCCAGCAGAATGCGGTGGAAGGACAGGGAGGGGTAGTAAATAGCCATGATGATGGTCTTACTGGTGCAAGGTATGTCTTCCCTGTGAACGAAAATGCCCAAGGTTTTCAGGCAGTATGGGTGCGGGAAGCCTTGGGGTAGAGGAATGGGTAGAGGAAGCTCGTAGATGCTTGAATTTTAGATACATGACATTAACTGAGCAAGCTTTGTTTGTGTATGATCACTTAGAGGGGGAGGCTAGGTCTGAAATTAGGTTTCGTCCTGCTTCAGTCAGGAATGACCCTGAACAAATTTTAGCTATTTTGCTCGAAACATTTGGGTGCTCACAATCATATATAGAAGCACAGAAACAGTTTTTCCAACGACGTCAGCGGGATGGGGAGACACTGCGAGAGTTTTCTCACTCATTAATGGCCTTAATGGAGTTAGTTAAGTGTAAGAACCCAACAGACATCCAGGACTCTGATTGTGACTTGGGGTGTACCAATTTGATAGAACACGAAATTCCTTTATTAGATGATGCACCAATTCGTCAGCGCTACAGACGACTTCCCCCATCCCAGTATGATCTTGTTAAAGCTCATATTCAAGAGTTGTTGGAGCAGGGAGTGGTGCGGGCAAGTTGCAGTCCTTTCTCTTCAGCTATTGTTGTGGTCAAGAAGAAAGATGGGTCCATCCGTTTGTGTTGATTATCGTCAGCTAAATTCAAGAACAAGAAAGGATGCATTTCCCCTTCCACGTATAGAGGAATCTTTAGATGCTCTTACTGGCGCCTGCATGTTCTCGACCTTGGACTTGGCTAGTGGTTACAATCAAGTACCGGTAGCGGAGAAAGACCGAATGTCATAGGTGTCTTGCAGCCAAGGCGGTCCAACCCAAAGTAAAGACCTTTATGGGAAGTCTGCTGGCATCTAGACCACTGGAAATTGTGGCTATTGATTTCACCATGTTGGAACGAGCCAGTGACGGTAGAGAAAATCTTCTAGTGGTAACTGATGTGTTCTCTAAGTTTGCACAAGCATACCCTACACCAGACCAGAAAGCAAGTACGGTGGTGCGTATCCTCACTGAACGCTGGTTCTATGTGTATAGGGTCCCCAAGCGTATCCATTCGGACCAAGGTCGAAATTTTGAGAGCGAGTTACTGAAGTGCATCTGTCAGTTGTATGGCATTGATAGCCGTCGATTGCGGTGTGACTCAATTTGAATTGTTTCAGGTATGAAGTTTTATATGATACGGGATGTATATTTTAAATTTGGAGTTTCGTCTTCTGATCTGTTCTTTGTGTAATCTTTATGACCTGCCTTGCCTGTGTACACCACATTATACCCTCTCTTTTTACCTGTCATGCTGTGAAATGTTTTAGCATTATATGTAATAAGGAATAAAGAGTTATGTATTTTGTACAGCAGCACCTGCCTTTGTCCTTTTAATTAGGATATACATGTTATTAATCGTTTAAATACGGCATTTGTCCCTTTCTGAGCACGGTAAGGCACCTGAAGGCCACACTTATATACTTCAAAAAGAGTTAAAGTTATGTCAGTGCAGTCAGGACCATGAAATATTATTGAAAATAGTAATAGCGTGCACTTTTAACAATCGCTGAAACAGAGTTAATTCAACCAAAGTCAACAGCCAATTGCCCAACTGAAGGGAACAACAATTCAGAACACCATAATGGTAACAGTCTTCAGCAACCTTTGTACATGCACCATATGAAAGAAATAAAGCCAAACTGGTTTGCAATAAGTAAATATAGTAATTTTGTTTTTGAAGTCGTTTAATCATCCTCTGGTGAGATATTGATTTCATCTAAGGCTGTGTGGCTGTAAGTAGTTGATTGTGTTTCTGCTCACTTCTTCACGTTTTTCTGTTCTTGCTGTTCCTCTTATCCTCAGTGATTCTGCTTGTTAACCATAGGTGTCATCACTAACGCTCAGTCATCACTTGTAGAGTAAATCTACTTTATTACTTTTACTCTCTAGGACCATATGAAAACTGAGCAGTGTTTCTTTAACACTGGGAATTTTACTGTGTAAACATAAGCAGAAACGTGTTTTTCTTTAAAGAATTTATTAAAATTAATTTGGAAAATTGGTCTTTAACTACAAACACGCACTAAGAAATGTGATATGTAACACATACACAAGTTTTGTTGTGGTCTTTCTGGGATCATACCAGCACCCAGAAGACAACAAATGCTGGTCCACCAGCACACCAGATTCCAAGCTGATCCCAGCATGCAAAACATACCTTATGCTGGTGACCAGCAATGCTGGAATTTTCAGCAGGGTAGCGAGAATATTCATCTATGATGACAAGCATGTATTCACCTGTTTGTAGAGGACCATAGAAATCAGCACTGATCTCTTGCCAGGCATTTTCAGAAAGCTTAGACACTTTCAATGGCTTAGAATGTGCTATCGGTGAGTTGGCTTGGTAGGCAAGACAGTTTGTTACCCTAACTTCAGCTTTGTTATCCATGAATCTTGTATGCCCTGTCTTCCATGGCTGCCTCCAAGTTGGCTGCCCTTTTTTCCAAGTAGAGGATTAGGCCTCCATACCTGCCTGATTTTTCTTATCCGTAATTATATCCATCTTATGGCTAAGTAAGACTTTCATTTCCATGATGACCACTAAGAGTTTGCCATGCTGAATATGGCTTTAAGGAATTTGTTACCACCAGAAGAAACTGAGCAATACAAGCACATATTCTTCTGGATCATTTGAAGTTGGATGCAGCTCAACATCTAGCCATGGCTTATGCCCATCATTCCCCTCTTTACACTACTGCATTAAAGGTTCTTCAGAAGAAATATGGTCAGCCTCACCAGTTGGTGCTATGGGAGCTTGCTGCTATTAAGAACTTACCAGCTGTACATTCAGGAGATTCTGTTGGATTTGGCAAATTTGCTGTGAGTTCAAGCTCTTGTGGGTATGCTCCAATCCTGGGATCATGAAGGAGTAAAGAAGTTATCTTCTGCATCACATGTCCATCATCACGTTTCAGACAAGAGAGGTGAGGCCTACCAAGTCCCCATTTCACACATCTGCTTTCCTTAATGGTGTGAGACACAAAGTGAATCCCAGTCCGATAAAGAAAACTGAAACTACTAACAGATCACAGGAAAGGAAAGAGGGCCATAAACCATCTTGTGCATACGGTTGCAGTAATCATGACCAAGTCATTGTCCTGAATTTCATAACTTTGATACAGTAGCCAAACGAAGTGGATTGTTGACTATAACCCTTGTTGGAGATGTGGTTGGGCCCGTAGATCATCCAAATGTGACCTGCAAATAAAATGTCCATTGTGTCAAGATCATCACCTAGGAATACTACATGAAGTGAATGCATGCAAACCAGATCCTGGGATATTTTATTTGAGTAGACCAAGTGGTCTTAACTCTGCATACTCGACTGGGGTGGACACTGCAGGGACCTATACTTCTTTGGGTGAGAAAACTAATTCCACGACACAGTGTTTCTTTCAAGCTTCCCACTCCATTGATCAGTTGCATAAGGATGTGGAGAAGTTATGGCAAGTTGATGTACTTCTTTTCTCTCAGACTCCAAAGCCAGCTCAGCCTTTGTGCACTGCCTCCGTCCCTGCTGGTGCAGAGAAGCCTGCATGCTCAGCCTTTGCACATTGTTTCCATTCCTACTGAATTAGAGAAGTTGGCTCAGCCTTTGCATGTATCTGCTGGTACAGAAGATTCAATTCATTCCTTTTGTGCGTCCTCAGTGTTTTTCACAAGAGGGAAATTAATAGCTATTCTGCCCATGGCACTTTGTTCAGTCCTGGTTGCTCTGTTCCAGTTCATCACCTTGTCCCTAGCCCAGGCTATTCAATTTGTGATCATCTTGGTCTTAGTCATGCTGATGAAGCCTTATTTTACCTGTGGGATTCTGTTAGAACAGTTGACATTTCTTTTTTCGTCTACAGCCCTGCCAGAACCATGGCCTCCTCCTATTCCGGGAGCTCTGTTATGGTCTGTACTGTCATCTGCATCTGTCCTGTTGAAGCTTTATACTTTATCTAGTATCCTGTTGAGACAGCTTTGGATGGCTCCCTTTGTCTAGCGTTTCCCCAGAGTCATGATTTCCACCTTTACATGCATTTCATAATGATTTATTTCTGTTTAATGTGTTGCTAAAGTAGGTACCTTTTTATTCACTTATATTTTTATATTTTATTCACTTTACAATTGTCAGAGTTGGGAAACTGTGGGAACTTTTGTGATTAATGGTATAGGGATTCAGTAATGTACTGTTAAATTCCAATGGGTTAAAATGACTGTAGTTTTGTGAATGAAAACCTGTAACTTGTACAGTCTGTAATATATGTATAGAAATAAATATATATATATATATATATACACGGTTTAATGATCTACAACAAAATAGAACGAGTTTTTGTTTTTTTAGCTCAACCGTCACGGAATGGAACGCACAGGATTGTGGGCATATCAAAGGCAGCGAAGGATACATCTATGCTGCCTTCAAAATTCGATCAGAAGAAGGTATCTCCGGAGACAGAAAGTAAAGCAGAATTTGGATTTGAACGTGCCTTGATGCCTTTCTGCCTTGGAATGCTGCCTTCGAAGGCAGCATTTTAGAGTTTTCGGATGCAGCCAGTGTGTTTGTGTGTGAGATGCTGTCTCTCCATTCAAACATGGCCTGTGTGTAATTTTTGCATTGTTGTCTGTAAACCAACAGTTACCAGCACTTGATACCATGGGAAATGTGTACTCCTACACATTGAGAAAATAAACTGTAAAAATTAGATTGATGACTAAATTAGTTTTAATTGACTCACCATTCTGGTAGCAATAGCCAAACCAGCCTATAATTCCTAAAAGTCTTAGATGAATTTGGCAAGCTTTTTGTATTTAAAATTTATAATTCTAAATCAATTTTTATGCCTCTCAATACAGGTGGTTCTAATTTCCATAATAATATTCAGATATCAACATACTTACGGATCGGGCTGAGACCTACCTTATCCCTCATTTCAAAAGTTAATTATATGTCAATTTATAGAAATGTTGAAGCTGACATTCAGAGATGGATGTGCCTACCTTCATCACCACCTGCCCAAATGTCAACAATAAAAATTAATATTTTGCATATTGAATGTTATATGGAATGGTAAGCGTCCCAGAATTAAGTGGTCTACACTTCAAAAAAGCAAATTGGAGTGTGGATTGGGCTGCCCTAATTTTAAATTGGTCCTTTATACTACTCTTAGTTGTGGTTTGATCCTTGTTCACAATCTTCATGTAAACTAATAGAAAAATAACTAATTTCACTAATTTGTCTGCAAGTTTGTTTTTTTTGTTTTTCTGGTCTTTATTACAGGAAATGCTCCTTATACTCTGATGCATGAATTATTAAATCACAAAGTACTATTTTTTACATGTTTGTTTTTACTTTTAAACAAGAAAAAATGTATTTTGTCAATATATTATATTTTGAGGGAGTTACATATATGTCCACTGCAGTGGACGCCATGCATCAAAGGTATAAAAAGTGAATGCACTCATACAGTATACATGTATACATGCCTACAGTTTTATATGACTTAATAAATAAATATAGACTGTAAGCATGGAAATAAATGCTAAAATCTGAAGACTATTTAATATTTCTGTTCAATAAAACCATTCAAGTGTAAATTATATCATAATTTTAATAAAACATACAAAATAAGGCAGAACCTATATATAGGCAGAATTATACCCTTTGATACATGACGTCTACTGTAGTGGACAGATATATTTTCTGTCACAGAAAAAGAATGTACAAGAAAAATATTGTTAAAATCTGGATGAAACTATTTCTGACATCCTATTTAACTGAAAAATATTTTTTGTAGCTATCTGGT